TAGCCAATACTGAGTCCCTTGTTAATCATTGAATTTCATAATCATCCACACTTTTCTTACTGAGTCTCCTAATTCTAGCCTCATATACTAATATTATAAGTTCTCTTCCTGTTGATGTCTACTGTTTTTTCCTAAATCGAATGCCTAAGTGATATTTTTGCTTTTGCTGCGATGCCAAGATTGAATGTGGGTGTAGGATGTAAGGGGTAAAGCTGAGAAGAGTTTCTGTATAATCTCTGTTTGTCAAATCTTTGGATTCCCTGATTGTCTTTTCCTATGGAGTAAAGGATTCAGAAAAAAGAACTTTGAGAGATGGACAGCCTTTTTCAGAATGATCCCCCTAAAAGTTTCTGCTACCCCAGGTAATGGTGAACTCTGGTCTCTCCTCTCTGAGTTTCCTAAAGATATTGATATTTCCAAACAGAAATTGGCTTAGTTCATCGCCTTAGGAATTACCTTTTTTAAAAGTTGGAATGATGTTAACCCAAATTCTTCATGTGCCTTCACTGATACTAGTATATTTAAAGCCATTTCCCACCTATGGCACACATTCTAAACCGACTCCAGACATAGTTTATGATTTCATTAAACAAAGACTAGCTGCTTATTATCACTCTTCTTTATTGGTATGAATGACCATGTTTACAGGGAAGATATGGCATTACTTTAAAAAATCATTTCATTTGGCTTTCTCTTAAGTATTTTATCCAGGACATTGTTCAGTTATTGCCAGTACTTACTCCTTTGAGAACTCTGTCACGTAGGCTTTGGTGGTCATATCACCAAGTTGTATCTTACAGGGATGGTTTCATTTCTGTGGGAGCTTGGTTGCTTCCTTCAGAAAGGCAACAATAAAGGTCACTGACAGCACAGCAGGACTGGAAATCCTGGGATTAGAATAATATCCTGTGTGGAATGGAGGGCATCTTGCCTGGAGAAGTTACAGCAATACAAGACCTATAAATATAGTATCTCATTCCCTCTCTGTAGCACTGTGTGCAATTAAGTACTTATCACATGGATTTGGGCAGAGAGATGTGCAAATTAATCTTTCTTTACTGGGAAACTAGTTCTCCAGAGGGAGTGTCAGAAGCTCTGACTTTTAGAATTTGCCAATCACTGTGTTGTAAATATCCAACACACATGCCTCCCAATTCAAGGTGTGAACATGATGCCACTGGGAAGTTGGGAAGAGGTGCGCAGTCAGCTCTGCCCAAGCCCATGTGCGCCAGCTCCGGCACACACAGGACCTCTGCAGGCCCATCCCAGCTCCGGAGCTCCCTGAGGGGTCAGCCCAGGCCTCTGCTGTGACTGCATTCCATTTTAATCTCTCTCTCCCCTTCCTCCTTCTCCTCCCAGCACAGGTGTTGCTCCTGAGAACATGCTCCCATAAGCTCCCTGCATTTGTATCTGAGTCTCAAAGTCACTTTTCCAGGGGCCCTGACCTATGATAAGGAGAAATGGGAGAAATAGAAAGTTAAGCCTACTTTATTAGGGAGAGGAAGGGAAAGGGAGAGAGAGAGAGAAACATCCATGATGAGAATCATTGATCGGCGGCCTCCTGCACACCCCCTACTGGGGATCAAGCCCGCAACCAGGGCATGCGCGCTTGACCAGAATCGAACCATTAACTCCCAGTTATAGGTTGACGCTCAATCATGAGCTACACCAGTCAAGTGAAAGTTAAGTGTATTATTATTAACAGTTAAGAGAGTGAAAACCCTCTGTTCTCTCTACTAAATCCATTAACTGATTAGATCAACTATTACTTCAACCTGGTTTCCTAATGAACCCCTGAATTTATCTTGATCAATTAATAAATAGGCTACTCATTAGTGCTTTCCATTTTGTTCTGTCAGTCTTTATTCAGGTCTTTGGTTGCAGACAGACTACACACAAACTGGGTCAAATGTGGCCAGGTGCTGACATTTGAGATTCACAGTGCAATTTCTTTGTTGTTACAAAGAGGGTTATTGCAAAACTAGGAAGACTAAATAACATGTTCAGATATTATTACTATCGTCTTGGTCCTATTCTGTCACTAAAATACTTCAGAGCTAACTCTGGTCTGGAGGCACACAAAATGAATCGACTCCTTAGAGGTTAATGGCGCTGGCAAAGTTCCTTTCTGCCGCATGAAGCTAAACAGAAGAGAAGCTATTAATGAGATGGAATAGGATAATGTGGTAGAAGAGCTATAATGTGTAGGCCTGGTAAGATTGCAACTTAGATAAAAATGTAGGAGACAAATTTTGAGCCTAGGCTATTTCCCCAGAAAAATACAACAACTTATATAGTCAATTTTCAATTATCTGCCTAAGAAAAAATAGCAATAATGGCAGTTATCCAAAAGAGCGGATCGTGAACAAATTCATTTCTAGTTGACTTTGAAATATTGTTTTGTATTCTAAAACCAGCATTTGAATGCAGATGCATTTTATATTCTGGAAAGTTGCTATGCCTCTAACTTAAATACTGGTGTTACACTTTAGAATCAGACTGGAAAAGGTGGCTTACATGTTCCATCTTTGCTTGTATAATACATTCCCGTCTATATTACTGCTGAGGTATCATTACCTCTTAGGATAATGTTAAGTTCATTCTAACGCAGGGAAAATCTGTATCTATATGTTTCCTGGTTTGTATTTTCCTAGCACTGATGATAATTAACTATTTTGGTTGAAGGGACACCCTACTTCCATGCCTTTGCCAGGTTAAAGTTAATTTAAAAAATATTTTGTGTCAAAAAAATTTTTTAATGAGTGGTCAAGGTAAAGAGTTATGTCTAAGTAAGACTTGAGATGTTTAAACTGAAATATCTGCCCATGGAAAATTGAGTTGGCTATATTTACATTTATAAACATTTTCCACATGTATTTTGGCACTGGTTTGGTTATTTTCATTCAGTAAATGCTAATATGTCTAACATGTTATAACAACACCTGGCATAGGGCCTGGCTCATGTTAGTAATCAGTTACTGCTTATTTCCTTCATTCCTTGCTTCCTTACTTTCCTTTATTCAATAGTTTTATATAAAATGGTTCACATTAATGCTTCATACACTTTACTAAATGTTTATATTTTATCCTGCTCTTTCTTTGTATAGAACATTTTATAAAAGCAAAAACTTAGCCTGGCCAGCATACTCAGTGGTTGAGCTTCAAACTATGAACCAGGAGGTCATGGTTCAATTCCCAGTCAGGGCACATGCCCGGGTTGTGGGCTCAATCCCCAGTGTGGGGTGTACAGGAAGCAGCTGGTCAATGATTCTCTCCCATCATTGATGTTTCTATCCTTTTTCTCCCTCTCCCTTCCTTTCCGAAATCAATAAAAATATTTTTTTTAAAAAAAGCAAAAACTTTAAAAATATATATGCTAGAGTAATAAATTCCTGGTGTTATTTTTCCCTGTGTCAACATTCAATACATTTCAATTCTAAAAGCTACCTCTATAGAAATTGATTGATCAATATTAAGCAAATAATTTATTAAGCACCATAGCATTTTAAAGAATGAGGACTTATGTAGACTGAAAATTGACCACATGCTCTCCTGTCTTATTCTTGGTCATATGGCACTCTCCTATTCTAGAACAGTACATTTTTTTCCATAAGCAGGAGATTCTCAAGCATGCAGTGTCTTTGATTGTTTGCTTTGGGACTCTTTTGTTTCAGTGTTTGACTTGATAAGTATCTGTTGTTTGACCAAAGTTGATTCTCTCCCCATTTAAAGATCCGGTTGGCTTCTAACCTGTTATTTCAACAGGTCTGATCAAATCCAGCCAGTCTGAGAGGGTCATAAGTGAAAGTGAAGGTCTTAAATTAAAGGGAAGAGACTCATGCCTAAAATACCCAGTTCTACCACAAATTAGCTAAGCGTCTTTGCCCAAGTGGCTTCAGCCCTCTGAACCCCTTTCATTATTTTTTAAAAAATATATTTTATTGATTTTTTACAGAGAGGAAGGGAGAGGGATAGAGAGTTAGAAACATCGATGAGAAACATCGATCAGCTGCCTCCTGCACACTCCCTACTGGGTATGTGCCTGCAACCAAGGTACATGCCCTTGACTGGAATCGAACCTGGGACCCTTGAGTCCACAGGCCGACGCTCTATCCACTGAGCCAAACTGGTCAGGGCCCCTTTCATCATTTTGAAATGAAAGACATTGCCCTAGATCAATGATGGCAAACCTATGACACGCGTATCAGAGGTGACACGCGAACTCATTTTTTTGGTTAATTCTCTTTTGATACATGGCATTTAAATATATAAAATAAATATCAAAAATATGTCTTTGTTTTACTATGGTTGCAAATATCAAAAAATTTCTATATGTGACACAGCATCAGAGTTAAGTTAGGGTTTTTCAAAATGCTGACACGCCAACCTGAAAAGGTTCGCTATCACTGGGCTAGATATTAGGGCATAACTAGCTACCCAGGAGCTAATCCTGACCCTCAGGTAGGCTTTCACTTTACCCTTGTTTTACCCACACAACGTTTTGTTTTCTTTAATTGAATTCTAAATATAAATCCAAGAGGTTTCACATAAAAATCTGTATTTCTCTCTTCCTTGAAAGTGTGCAGCAGTGGCATTACTAGCTTGTTTTTCCTTGTGGCATCAATGAAAACTATCAGCTAGACATGATCAGTGCTGCCCCCTTCAGGTGGGACATGAGTTCACTAGTTCACCACAGGCCTACTCTCCCCTATTGTCTCACACCCAGTGGACTCCCTCTTTTAACATCCTACTTGTCTGGTCTTGTAGGCCTATCAGTTTGCAAGTCTAGGACCAGCTCTGACTCTCATTTGTTCTTTTTCATTTGACCAACCTCTGTTCAGTGCTTACCCACATGCCATTCTGTATACTGTACGTATAGACTAAATGTGTCTACTTTTTTTTTTAAAAAAAAAAGACAGGTTATTCAGTCTTTGACTTCTCAGAGCCTGATTAATTTCCATTGTTTATAAAGTTTTTTTCTTTTCTTGTTGTCCGCATAGGATTCTGCAGTTTTTAAGCAGCAGCTTCTGCTGGCACGGCCATTACAGATGTCCTCCTCACAGGTGGAGATCATGCTTTGTGCCCCGCACCTATGGTAAGAAGAGCACAGCACGTTCGGCCCCACAGGTAGGAGAAGAACACACTGTTCCGTTATGTAGGCCATCACTGCGGAAAATTAACAGCAATTCTGTAAAATCAGAAATCAGCATCTAAGGACTAATGAGAAGAGAGAAAAGTTTAGTTATTTTTTTCTTTTATTAATGTTTACCTGCTATAATATGTACAAGCATCCTTGCCATAGGAGGAAAAAAATAACACAAAAGTCCTTTTTTAATATTTATATTTCAATATTCAAAAGTCATTTATATCTATGAACCTGTAGACTGGTTTTAGTGGTGGCCTCTTTTAAGATTAAATATTAGGGAACTAAAGACATGCCTTAGGTGACCTGAGACATCATCTGTTTAAAAACCCATTTCTCCAAGGCCACAGCTAATTGATTCTTGAAACTTCTTTGCTGAAATAACCTTGTCTCATGGGCAATTGTACCTCAATTATTTCTTATTTCACTTGAAAATAATAGTACTTTATACAGAAAATGGTGGTATAGTTATAAAGAAGTATCTAAAATAACAAGCAATCATTTAAAATGTTTTTATTTGAAGGGATTTTTAAAAGCAAGAGAAATACTCAGAATATTCCTTTATATACTGATTGCCCTAAATAACATGATAAGTTTATAAAAATGATTGCAGATTTCTCGTTTTGTGACTCAGGAAAAGAAGTACCAAATGGGCAAGAAGAGACTTGAATCTCCCTTTTTATCTAGAATGATCACCTCTGTGATTTGGGCCAGTAATTTAATCTCTTTAAACTACACTTTTTGCCCATAAAAGGGGACAGTTATTTCAGAGTGCCCTTCCAAATACCAGGCTCAGTTTGACAATGAAGTACATCTGTTAGTGGTGGGTGAGAGGGTAGCTCTAAGCTAATTCCCTATAAGCTAATTTGCTAAAAGTAAATTCAGGAAAATGCCAATTCACCAAACTTCTTTATTCTGTTCATTATTTACAACGTGTACAGCAATTTGCTCTGGCTGTGTTGGCTTTCACAGTCTTTGGAGATTTCTGTGAGGTTTTAGTTGATAGTTTTCCAATTCTTCAGAGCAGCATTTGAAGGAATGCCTAGCCTGTCTTTGCTTTAGTCCCTGCTCTTGTGTATAGGGTCTTCCGATAAGGAGCCATGGAGAGGCATCACTACACAGCCAGATAGGACTTGAGATATGTGAGACTATCACTAGGAGGATTCTACAAATTCAAGACAAATATATCACTATGTAAATATATTAGTCAGACTGACCAGTTTTGATAACTGTGTCATAGAATTGTGCTGGCATCATCCTTCCTCTTAGGGATCTTATAGTTCAACTAGAGGCCCAGTGCATGAAATTTGTGCACTCAGCAGTTGGAGTCCCTCAGCCCGGCCTCTGCTCTCTCACAGTCTGGGAGCAGGCCTAAGTCATCAGTCAGACATCCTTCACGCTGCTTCGGAAGTGGGAGAGGCTCCCCGCTGCTCTTGCCAGCCGTGACCTGGGCTTCTGGCTGAGCGGTGCTCCCCCTGTGGGAGTGCACTGACCATCAGGGGGCAGCTCCTGCATTGATTCAATTTGAATATTAGCCTTTTATTATATAGCATGGTCTTTGGTTGATTACCTCCCACCCACCCACGATTGAGGCCGGGGAGGGACACAGGAAGTTGGCCAGCTGGGGAGTGACCGTGGAAGGGCTCCAGGACATGTCTGGCCCATCTCGCTCAGTCCCGATCTGCTGGACACCAGCAGCAAGCTAACCTACCGGTTGGAGCATCTGCCCCCTGGTGGTCAGTGCACATCATAGCGACTGGTTGACTAGTCAACTGCCTGCCCCCTGGTGGTCAGTGCACATCATAGCAAACAGTTGAGCAGCCTTAGCATAACATTAGCATATTATACTTTGATTGGTTGAATGGCTGACTGGCTGACCAGACACTTAACAAATTAGGATTTTATTATATAGGATTAGTT